CGTAACTATTAGTGATCCCGACTGTAACGTCACAGTCGGTGTTATGTTCTGATTCGCCTATTTTTCAGTGGACTTTTGCATGCACGAGATTTACATGAGGAGGAGGAAACAATGGTGTTTGAGGCTCACGGTATGTCATTTCCATGTACAGAACTGTTATTATTCAACTATGCCAAGGTAAATACAGTTTTCCATTCTATGGCACCTTTAATGTGACTATTTAACTAGAAATGATATCAATAATGATCTGTAGTTATTTTCATTTGATCACACTTCTAAAATTGACATTTCTGCGCAAAACTGTCTAAACCTACCACTCACTGAATTCAACACACTAGTGTTTGAAGCAATGTTTGAAACATTTATCATTCAATATCATTTATAGCATAATTATTAAATTTTGATTCTGAATTTAGGCATTCACTATTTTTTAATGATTACGCATTTATTATATATTTTTTTGTGGTACCTGATTACTTCTGTCCCAAGGCACGGAAATTGGTCCCTCATCTCTTGAGTACAGAATGTGTTTTCTGGGAAGAAAAATTTGGTATGTTTCTTAATGAGGGATCTAAAGATAAAGTTTTCACTTTTACTGATTTTCTGTACAGAAATTACCTGGCCATGTGAATTCTCTTCCTAACAATAGCACCAATAAATCGTCTTTCTCCATCCTGAAAAAATAAAACGATACAATTCATGTGCCTTTAAGTGAGGCTCAGAGCTGTTGTATATAATAAATATTCTAGTGTTGCTGAACATGTAAATAACTCACAAGCGTTGTGTAGGTGACATCAGGAAACGTCTGTTTCTCACCGTCACGTCCTGGGATGTAATAAATCATGGAGGCACTGTTGATGTGTCTTGGTGTCCCCTCATTCCACTCCTCACAGTTATACGCCTCCACCCGAACACCAACCTCCACACTGATACACAGAATAAGAGAACAATGTGTTTAAAATATTCCTCAGTTTATTAGATATTAGTATTAATGTCAATATGAAATCAAAATGTACCCCATTTACTTCCTTAATAAATCTGCATAGTGTTAATGTGAGCGGTGCGACAACTGAATATATCATATTACAAATGCATGTTGTTGTCTTTAACAGTCCTGACAATGAAATGCTTCTAAAGAAGGTTGTTTTGTTTATGATTGCGCATCTATAGCAGTCAGGTTATGTAGCTACTGCACCTGGTCTGAAAGGTATTATTGACACCGACACTGGACGGACCTCGGAATCGAAACATGTCCACAGCTCCAAGAGAAGGATAGTAGCCACACAAACGACTACACAGACAGAAGATGAAATGAAGATTTAAATCGACAGATTATATAAATATGCTTTATCAATATTTATATTGATACTTATATTTAATAAGTTTATCAAAATTAATAATTTCAACTAGAGACAAACTTTCAAGGCTAGACAAATTTTGATGATGGCTTGAGAAAGCCTGACCAAAAGGACTGAAAACGTTTTAGGCCATGACAGATGGAATGATAGACAGAACAACAGATAGATAGATAGATAGATAGATAGATAGAATGATAGATAGACAGGTAGAAGGATAGATAGATAGAACGATAGATAGATAGATAGATAGATGGATAGTTGGTTTGGTTCATGGCTAAGAATAATTAACACAAGACATTTTTAATTGGGGTGAATCAATGTGAAAAATGCTTCCGGAACAATGGCGGTCACTGTTGTGCTAACGGTACATTCACACGGGGCGTCGGCGTCAACGCCTCTCGTTTACTTTACATGGAATGATGTCAATCATTGCCGAACTGAATTGTGGGTTCGTCGCTTCGCGTCACTGGCGTTGCTCGTGGCAGAAGTTGAAAAATTTGCAACTTTTCAAGCGCCAACACAGGCGTCAGCCAGTTAGATCGCCTTCTGCAAATACCCTAGTGCAGACGCTAGCCAATCGCGTTCATGAAACGCCAGAAAACTAATTCTAATGTGATTGGCTGTTGTCGTTATGACTGTCACGTCAGCACCAATCTTCAGACACGCCCTCCATCAAGCGTAGATGCTGACGCCCCGTGTAAATGTACCGTAAGATAACATCTAACATGAATACACATGCTCCTGGATCTGGTACCTGGCTGCTACTGTAGCCACGTTCTCCATCCAGGCCATGATCTGTCCTCCAAATGTGTTTCCATGGTGATTGGCGTGTGGCGGCAGCACCAGCTCGATGCTCACGACCCGCATGAGCTCGGTCAACACCACGGGTGCGACGGGCTTCCTGCTACACAGTGCTGAAATGTCAACAGATCCTGTACAGCATGCACTTCATCAGCACACTGACTCATGACTGGAACTTCTGATCCCACTGCCAAGTTGTGGTTGTTGTGGCTCTTGTTGAGTCTCGTGTCTGTCCTCTGGCTGACTCTGTCATGGGATTCTTTCCACTGGAGACACTCCGTGTGTTTGGGCAGTGATTTTAATATCAAATGTTGCACCATTTGTTCTTTCAGGATGTATTGCCAATGAAGTTTGTTTCCATGACTTGGTGGAGTTATTAGAAGTACAATCTCCTGGAGTAAACTGAGGTGTGACATAATAGCTTGCAGATCACTTGATCCACCATCCATCTCAGAACCTCGTAAGCAGACACAAGTATATACTAATTTAATGACAGAGTTGAAGGAAAGTGCTAACCCTTGTTTTGAAGGTAGTAATAGTCCTTCATGAGGTTCTTGAAGGCCTCTTCATTGTAGAGACGTAGTCGTCGTCTCTCTGAAGCTAGTGAATATTCCAGCATTTCCTCTACGGAGCCCTGAACGTCCAAGGGTTTCAGAGACACCTGCGGAAATAGACATCACTGAATATTTAGGAATAATTATATTTTTTACATACATAAAGTCAAAGCAAGAGAGAAGTTATATGCACATGTTTGTCACTGTTATCATATCATATGTTATCATATACTCTCTGACAGTCACTGTAGCTGCCACATTAAAATGTAGCTGTTTGAGAAGCCCTACAAAGATGCTATTTTACTAGTATCTAGTTACAAAATCGTCTAATATTGATAGTTAAAATTAATAAATCAAATGTGACATATTACGTTTTTACTTGGTATTTTAAAGCAATATTCCGGAATTTAATAGAAGGATTTAAAGAGTATTTGCAGCTGCCGTTGTTCATAAAAATTAAAAATTGTTGATATCCATAGTAAATGAAAATATTAAAAAATATTATTTAGCCATGAGTAAGTCTGAATTCTCTGTCTGTAATTATAATCCATGCTGATGAAAAAAATGCCAAATATTACAACTTTAATAAATATTTGTTCTTAATCCATCATTAATTCTTTAATTTAGTTTATGCTGACTAATTAAAAAATCAATCAAAATAAAAAAAAAAATACATTGTGAAGCATTTACATAAAACAACACATAATGGGCTTAAATGTGTCCATATATCTATAAACCCAATTTTTAAACTTATTTGAAAGAAATCTGCTCATCAAGGCTGCATTTATTTGATTAGAAATACATCAAAATCATATAATATTGTGAAATATTATTGCAATGTAAAATAACTATTTTCTTTTTAAATATATTTTAAAATATAATTTATTCCTGTGATGCAAAGCTGAATTTTCAGCATCATTACTCCAGTCTTCAATGTCACACGATCCATCAGAAATCATTTTGATATGCCGATTTGTTACTCAGGAAACATTTCTTATTATTACCAACATTGAAAACAGTCGTGCTGCTTAATATTTTTGTTGAAACCATGTTACATTTTTCCAATATTTGTTCTTCAAATATTGGAAACTTCAAAAGGTTGGCATTTATTTGAAATACACATCTTTTGTGATATTATAAATGGTCCTTTACTCTCACTTTTGATCAATTTCATGCACGCTTGCTGTTAGAGCCTCTTACTGACCCAAAACCTTTAATCAGTAGTGTAATATTTAGATTCGAGTTGGCTTAATGGGACGATTTACCCCAAATTCTATGGTGCATTCTTGACAGAGATGTTTCCTCACCTTGTGTGTTCCTGTTGGTTTGGCGACAAACGTGGAGAAGTCCACGCAAACCCTCTTTGTCACCCCACTGAGCACCTCCTGTACTGTTACATAGATTCCTACCTGATAAAAACAGAGGCCTGATCAAACACAGGAATGCATTATAGTTATTCCGTTAATATTTAATACTGTAAATGTGTTTCGCCTTGTATTACCTCCATACTTGTGTTGAAAGCCCTGTTCACTCTGGCTTTGATATTGATAACCTGCCCAACCCTGAAATACAGAGAGATGTGATATGATAATAACAGATCAATTTATCACACAACATGAGGTACTCAAGAAGCACTTGATCTAGCATTTGCTAAACATGACCTTAGACCTGTTACTAAAATCTGATTGGATGCTAAGACTGTTGTTTCTGGATCAACAAGGATGTTCTACTTTGATTAGAACAGTCAAGTCATGTTAAAAGAACAGTTCTCCCACATATGATATAAATGCACTTACTCTCAGGCCATACAAGATGTGGATGAGTTTGTTGCTTCACCAGAAAATTTTTTTGGAGAAATGTAGCATTACTTCACTTGCTCACCAATAGATCCTCTGCAGTGAATGGGTGCCGTCAGAATGAGAGTCCAAACAGTTGATAAAAATGTCACAATAATCCACACCACTCCAGTCCATCAATTAACGTCTTGTGAAGCAAAAAGCTGCGTTAAGCCATTTTTAACTTTAGACCATTGCTTCTGGCTAAAATATATCAATAATATTGCCTTCTCTTGTGAAAAGGTTGTCTTGAATCAGGAGAGAAATATGCACAGATCAAGCACCGTTTACAAGCTAAAACAGTACAAAACAGCTCTAAACAAATATGTTGGTGGATTTTGAGAGGACAACAGAGGATGGACTTTTTCACTGAAGGAAGCATTATTATGGATTATGGATGCATATTTTGGCCAGACGCGACGGTTTAAAGTTAAAACACCTTAATGATGGATTTGTTTCTTACAAACATGCAGCTTTTGCTTCACAAGATGTTAATTGATGGAGTGGTGTGGATTACTTGTGGATTATTGTGATGTTTTTAATCAGCTTTTGGGACTCTCATTCTGACGGCACCCATTCACTGCAGAGGACCCATTGGTGAGCAAGTGATGTAATGCTACATTTCTCCAAATCTGTTCCAATCAAGAAACAAAGTCATCTACATCTTGGATGGCAAGGTGAGTAAATTTTCATTTATGTGATATAGGACACACTCTAGTACCTTACAGTCTCTTCAAACTGGATATCATCCATAGAAGCCGTGACACACGCCATTCCTGCATATCTTTCAGCTTAAAGGATGAAATGAAGAAAAAAGACAGAGATTTAAAACATGAACCGCTAAATGAACCCTCAAAGATGGGTACACACTTCTTGTTCAAATTTGCTTGTAACCGTTATTTATATTTCATGCGTCTAACTGGAGCAGAAACAGGAAGGAGATGGAGCGTCTACTATAAGAGAGGACACGTGTAAATCATTGATGTGTGCCTTCCTCAAGCCCCTTTTCTTCAGTGACGGAGAAATATGGATTCACACAAGATTTGTGGGTAAAAGGTGGATGGATGCTAGTTGCCTTCCTCGTTCATAGTCTAAAGGTGATTGCTTAATTCTCAATCTACTCTGATGGGTTGATAACACACTAGGTTGTTTTGGAAAAAGGACATTTTTACTGCTTTAGCAGGTCAGTCGAGGGCTTGCTGTTCTCGCTTTTGCAATTTATTAAATGGATGATGAAGTTAAGTGAATTGCATTATGGGATACTGTTTTCCACACAATAGCTTCATCTGAAATCACAAAGTATGTGAAAAGCATAGTTTGTCAAAATGCTCAGTATTCAATAAATAGTAGGCGAGAAGTACCCAGATGACTAACTACTTTCAGCAAGATTCCATTTGATGGACAATTTACTACCCCAGTGAGGCCACAGGAGAGGATTTGTGAAAACCAGTGAAGCGACGCAAATGACAGTATTATTATAGGTCACACATACATCAAGATTATGTTCATACTACACACATTCATACCATATAGAACATAATTTTCCTCACTTACAAAGTAATTACTTATTTAAAAGAAGTACATATTCAGAGAGTATAAGATTTCGAGTGCATCCAATGTGTTCTAGTTCTTCGCATTGCTGCTTGTAGAAAAAGAGAACGCTTCCTTAACAGTATACATACTGCATGCTACATACAGATTATTCCAAATATACCCATTGTTACTGAGCAGGACAAGCCTTCTGTACGTGTAACATCTCTGCCCTCTACAGGTGCATTTGGGGTATAACAACGTGGCAGCTCTCAGTCTTAGCTGGAAAGCTATGATAAGGTCATCACTTTGTTTATTCTATATGATGCATCTATGTATGTCTAGCAAGTGGCTAGCGTGCTGAATTTTCTTGTGTTTTGCAGGTAGGAGTCTATGTGCACAAGGAGGCAGATATGCTGTGTTTAAAAGTTGAGATGAAGATCAAAACTACAGCTTTTCATGCTTTCTTGCTGCTCGCCAACCTGCAGTTACGGCCACAGTGGGACAAAAACTATTTGTAGGCTAACAAGAGTTTATTACATCCCTTTATCTTACTTTGATTGTGCTATAAGTTTTGCAATTACATCAAATTGTTTCTCACCATCTACATACATCCTTCCATATGTCCTCCAGGAGCTGTGAAGAGGTTGAGAAAGCAGATGAGGAGGAAACCATTTATCACATTAAATGCACCACAGTCAAAGGAAGCAAAAATCGGGATTTTTCGTGGTTCTGTTGTCTAAAAGGCAACCCTGCAAAGATGGGTATGATTCCAGTGCTACCATGAGTGATTCTGTTTTGGATAAATCTTTAAAGAAATAGTACACCCAAAAATGAAAATTTGCTAAAACTTTACTCACTCTCAGGCTGTCCAAGATGTAGATGAGTTTGTTTCTTCATCAGAACAGATTTGGAGAAATTTAGCAGTACATCACTTGCTCACCATTTGATCCTATGCAGCGAATGGATGCCGTCAGAATGAGAGTCCAAACAGCTGATAAAAACATTACAGTAATCCACACAACTCCAGTCTATCAAATAACATCTTGTGAAGTGGAAAGCTGCATGTTTGTAAGAAACAAGTCCATCATTAAGTTGTTTTAACTTTAAACTTTTGCTTCTGGTCTATAATCCATAATAACACTTCCCCTGTTGTCCTATCACATCAAAATCCACCGACATATCTGTTTAGAACTGTTTTGGCTTGTAAGAGGTGCTTGATCTGTACATATTTCTCTCCTGTATCTGAAGAGATGACTTTTTGACCGGATAAAGCGATAATAATATGCAGTTACTCACGTCAAATGTCGTTAATTGATGGACTGGAGTGGTGTGGATTATTGTGATGTTTTTATCAGCTGTTTGGACTCTCATTCTGACGGCACCCATTCACTGCAGAGGACCCATTGGTGAGCAAGTGATGTAATGATAAATTTCTCCAAATCTGTTCTGATGAAGAAACAAATGCATCTATTTCTTGTATGGCCTGAGGATAAGTACTTTCTCTGCAAATTTTCATTTTTGGGTGAACTATTCCTTTAATGTGAATCTCAGACTGTATTTGTATCATCACAGAGACCCGTATGTTGTAGCACTCCGGTCTGTCACCATGGCAACAGTTCCACCAGATGAGAACTCTATTCGGAGCGAAGTTAAATGTGCAGGATTCCTCGTTCACGAAATAGGCTATTCAGCCTGCAAGGTACCAACTATACCATCTGAAACTGAATAAAAACATCACTCTCAAACTCTCATTACTAAACATCTGCTCAATCTGATTATTTCTGGCTGCTGTTCTAGGTGTCGTACTACAACCAGGTGACTTCTGGAGTGCTGTCCTATGTGGAGGGAAACTTAGCCGGCTGGTCCAAATCTATGGAAGATACAGCAATGTCCTGCATTTAATTTCTGGAGCAAGATTTGTTGACCACACAGTTCTGATATGCACACATTAGGACAACTCTAGGACAGTTATTTAAATAAAAAAAAAAGGTTATGATAACAACTGCCATGATTAAGTGATCATAAAAAGTGTCAGTTATAGCATTGCATGTTTTTCTGATGGCCTGTTTACACAAAGAATGATAACTATAAAGCCAACTATGATGATATCTATATTAGATGTTATATTATAGTTGTAGTGTTAGAATTAGAACAATTATTTAAATTTTACAGTTTATAAGTTTTGTCTTTGGTGTCAACGGGTCTGAAGGCTGCCAATAAAACCATAAATATCTATGGCACAATATTCATCTGACTAAATCTGCATTATAATTTTCACAGTCCACACTCTTCAAATTGTCTTTATAAAGGTGCTGTCTCAGTGTGGACAATAAAGTAAAACAGAAATAAATATGGACATATATGTATGTAAAATATGCCTCAGGGACTGCACAATTATTTAAACAAAAACTGAGGTCACAATAATTGGCAGACGGTGAATCATTGGTGAGTTCATGACTGCAGGAACCAAATCTAAATTAACGATCAGTTAAATAGATCCATTTCTATATTTCTCCTCAATCCGCTCTGGATCAGAACACCACCACTTTGTCTTTTTTGGCTTGTGCTTTCTTCACAGGCGCATGGACGTCCTCGTGGTCAGCACTGATTCTATTGGACAGCCGACTGAGGGTGATGGAATTAGCTGCCAAAAAGAACTTTGAGTTAATTTAGATGTTTCAATTTTCAACTAAAGAAGAAGATACCAAATTTTCAGTGGACATGGTCACAACTGATCAACTCACTTGAGTTCTGGTGTTCAGGACAATCTTTCTGAAAGTGCTCCACTGAACCACAAACCCGTCAGCAACCGCCTACAATAACTGCTGAAAGCAAAACTAAATTGCAACGATCAGTTAAACAGTCATTGCTATATTTCCCCTCAAAACAGCTGTGGATCAGAACACCACTACCTTGTCTTTTTTGGGTTGTGCTTTCTTCACAGGCACATGGACGTCCTCGTGGTCGGCGCTGATTCTATTGGACAGCCGGCCGAGGGTGATGGAATTAGCTGCAAAAAAGAAGTTAACTGAGATGTTTCTATTTCAGTTAAAGAAGAAGATACCAGATTTTCAGTGGACATGGTCACATTATTAACTGATCAACTCACTTGAGTTCTGGTGTTCAGGACAATCTTTCTGAAAGTGCTCCACTGAACCACAAACCCGTCAGCAACCGCCTACAAAAACAAAGCTCCACGACATGAGTGTTAAAAGTGATCCCGTGGCCCAGGGCTGGACTGGGACAAAAAATCGGCCCTGGCATTTTTTGGTCCAGGCGGCCCATCACCACTTCAATATA